TGAGAAGCAAATATTAAATCTTTATTAACATTATCATCTTTTAATTCTTTGATAAGTTTTTTTACTGTAGAAGATTCACCTTCCTTAGTAGTTGACTTCTGTCTTTTATCAGATTTATCTGGTGATTCTATAATACATTTTTTTTGTGTTCTACTTTCATAAAGTGGGGTCTTTCTGACCTAATAATAGTGGTAGAGCCATTGGAGAACCTAATCCAAAGTTATCGTCTAACATTTCTGCAAGAGCAGAAGTTCCACTAGACTGAGATGATGATTCGGAAAACCTTCATTCGGATACTATTGGATCAATGATTTTATTACAATCAGATAAAGGGTATTTGTTTTCTGTTGTAAGTAAAAATTTTTTTCTATACATTTTTTATGATATATATATCTACATGAAAGTATTGTAAATGATTCAAAATTAACAGATAATATTTTGTTTTCACATAGTTTACATGGTGGCAATTCTGTAACAACAATATCTTGTACTATGTTATGTTTTGTTTCTTTTAAAATATTCAAGGTGAGATTTTGAAGATTAGTAAGAAACATAATAATGATGAGTTACCAGATAAGTTTTTAATAACGAAATTACTTATACTTAGCTTTTTTATATAGTTTATTTCTCACGACTAACAAAACTAATTTGCAGATTCTATTAAGCTAATTTCAGATTTGGCGATCCGTTCATTCACAAATTAATTAGTATAAGCCAGGAGAGTCAAAGTCTCGATCTAAAGGATTATTGCTAGATCTTCGGTGGCAATTGCGAACAATTTTTAGCTTATGGGTAAGTGCGGTTGGTATATTCGTGAGCTTCTCCAAAGTTAGATCGGGTCCTGAAGAAATCTGTCTCCCAATTACGGATAAAGATAAACAGCTTTTTCAGAAATTAATAACAGACCAGGAGGAGATGATTGATATTGTAATGAATGAGTATCGATTTTTACTTCATTACGAACATAACTATAAGAGCGGAAAATTAATACATATAATGTGGGTATATATATGTACTGAAAAAAGTGCTGAGAAAGTATTGATAGAGGTACCTCCATCAAAAATATTATCTAGAAAGGTTTTAGCCCACATCGAAGAATGATTCAAAGACCTTCCACTCGCACCAGTTATTATAGTTAATTAGATAGATCATTACTCTGGAATGGGGACACAGTTGGTATGCTTATTTTTACGATGTTTTCGGATAGGAGAAACAATCTTTTTCTTTTTAACATGAATACGATGAATCGGATATTCGAGGCTCTGCTTCTTCTTTCAGGGTTTTATTGGGTTGAGATTATACCAGTCTGAATCCATGGATTCTGAATCGGAGCTGGATGAATCAGTCTCTGTTTCAGATTTGTTGTGAAATATTCCATGATGTTTCTTTCATTGCTTATTATTACAAAACAATGACCCTTCAAGTCTATCTTCGGTATTTGAGAGAATTTTGTTAATTATATTTATAACCTCTCTTGAGCTAGACCAGATTTAGATTCTGTTGATTTAAAGACAAAGTTCCATGATTCGGAGAATCGCCTAGGCACGTAAGTGCCATTGTTCTACAATACGGTCTGCTCTGCAATAGATAAGTTATTTTTAGTGAAGCTGGCTTTATGGCTCAAAGAGTCACCTGTAGATCTGCTATCTTCTTCGATTAATGGGATACTCATATCATCTATCTCAATTTTAGCATAGCGCTTATAATTTTTCAGAGAAAATCCAAAGCTAATTTTTGCTTCACGCATCTATAACCAATCCCGTCCTAGCACCAAATTAAATGATAGATTTTTGCGAATTTGAAAATCTATTACTTCGGTACCATCTAAGCTTCGCTATTTTTCTTTATACCGAAATTGCAAATCTAAGCATTTTATTTCTTTGCCTATCAAATTATCACCAGATATACCTTCTAACCCATAATCTTCTTCAAGCTTATTATACAAGTACTTGCTAATAGTATTGGATTTAGATATTGTATCGATTAATGCTTTTACTGGGATTTTTCCCTCTACGATTGTTTTTATAAAAACCATGTCAAATATTGCCGGAAGCAACTATATAGTAGCTATTTAATGATATATATTATAACTAAAAAAATAACTAAATTTAGATAATTAATTTTAGATAGATATATTATAAGTTAATAATTTCTGATATATAAATTCTTTATATATTATTTATTTCCTTTTCGCCAATTACTGAAGATAGTGAAACCTGAGATTCAGCAAGATATTATAAATATGATAGCAAACCCTGATATTTCTCGAAGAAATTCTAATAATTAGGTGTCGCCAGCCTGGCACTGTATATAATTTTCAAGTTTATTGGCATTTTGATAATACCGATCTTGAGCATATTTCATAAATAGTCCATCAACTCGATAAAGCTATTTAATTACTACATACTAGATTACTTTAACCGAATTTATTCGTTTTTGCATTTGCATTATCCTATATATTCGATGACTGTAACTTCAATGCACCCTCCCAAATATATTTTGAATAAAGGCAAGTGGTAGTAATAAATAATTCGGTATAAAATATCAAGATAATTAATCAAAAAAATTTTATATCCCATATTATGCT